GAAGAGGAGTCATAGACATCTACGCAGGAAAAGGCCCTTCAGCCCATCAAGTCCATGCCCATCAAAAACAACTGCATGTTCCAATCCCATTTTCAAGCACTTGGCCCATAGCCTGGTATGTTTTACCATTGCAAGTGCACATCTAAATACTTCTTAAATGCTATGAGGATTTCTGCCTCTTTCACCTTCACAGAAAGTCAGTTCCAGATTTCAATCACTTTCTGGATGACAAAGTTTCTATTTGTCAGATCTCCTCTAAATTTTCTGCCCCTTACCTTAACTCTATGCCCCTGGTCATTGCTCCCTTCATCAAAGGGAAAAGATTCTTCCGGTCGAACCTATCTGTGCCCCTCATAATTTTATATATCTCAATCATGTCTCCTCTCAACCTCCTCTGCGCTAAGGAAAACAACCTTAGTCTGTCCAGTCTCCATTCATAACTGAAACTCTCCAGTCAAGGTAACATCCTGATGTCTGCTGCACCCTTTGCAGCATTGTCACATCCTTCCTTTTGTGGATTCCAAAACTGCACACAATACTGTAGGACCAGAGAGTATAATCTCAGATATAGGGGTCACCCATTTGAAACAGGACTGAGGACAGATTTCTTCAGTAGGTAGTGAATCTGTGGAATTCTTTCCCATAGAAAGCTGTTGCGGATCATTCATTAAGAATATTCAAGGCTGAGAAACAATTTGTAATCAGTAAGAGAATCAATGGGTATTGGGACAAGGCCGGAAAATGGAATTGAGGATTATCATAGATATGAATGGTGGAGCAGACCCGATAGGCAATAGGCCTACTTATGCTTCTACATCTTATGATGCCCCAGCTGCGTCAAGACAAAATCTACCTTGCCGCAATTAAGCAATTGAATAAAGGGCAACAACCTTGCTTGTTTGTATGTTTAGGTCAACAACTAGTGAGGGGGGTACAGAGGAACAAATTTGAAAGGAAGTTGCAGAGAATTGCAAAATTATAACAAAGTTATAATAAGGGACTTTAATTATCCAAATACAGACTAAGATAGTAGTAGTGTGAAGGACAGGAGTTTCTTGACTATTTTGGAAGGAAGGAGACATTGCTGGATCTGTTTTTTGGGAATAAGGTGGGCCAAGTGGATCTGGTGCCAGTAGTAGAACATTTAGGGGATTGTGATCATTATCGCACAAGATTTAGGCTGATTATACAAAAAGACAAGAACAATACAGAGGAAAATCATCAACAGTGGAAAGCTAACTTCAACAGTGTAAGAATGGATTGAAACCAAATAAATTGGAGTCAAGTATTGGTAAGAAAATCAGTAGCTGGGTTAGTTAAGGCACAGGGGTTCATTAGCTCAGTTGGCTGGACAGCTGGTTTATGACACAGAGTGACACCAGCATGGGTTCAATTCCTGAACTGGCTGAGGTTAGCATAAAGGACTCTCCTAAACCTCTCCCTTCACCTGAGGTGTGGTGACCCTCAGGTTAAACAACCATCAGTCATTTCTCTAATGACAAAGCAACCCTGTGGTCTGGGAGACCCTATGGTGACTTTACCTTAACTTAACATCTCATATTGATTGTTGGTGCAGTTTTTTATTTCTCTGTATTCTTTCCTACCGATCTCTGACCCCTATTTCCCATATTACAAATTTCTACTCTTCCTCTCTTTTTTACTCTAGACTTGTTTAATGGAGTTTAAATTCATTTCTAAAGTACCGTTGTGCTGCCATTCCCTTGCAATTAATTAATATTGTTCACCACTTCATGAGGTCACAGGGCATATTAAAGTTCACTTTTGAAGCGAAGTGCAATTGTTCTCCTGAAGGCAACATTGCAACTATTTTGCGCACACATTTATCTACAAACAGCTGTGAACTGGACAACTAGCTTTTTTTTCTTGTGACTCTTGAGGAATACATGTTGTCTGGAACACAGACTCTGGTAGTCTAAAGCTTGGGGTCACATTTACAAACTTAACTTTTTGCAAAGCACGTACCCATTCTGCATTTAGTCACCCCAATTTTAAAAAAAAGCAGTGAATGCAAAGTGCACATAAATAGCTATTTAATAGATCTCTACAAATGCTGCCAGACCTGCTGTGTTTTTCAGCAATTTTGGCCTTTGTGGCTCTTTAACTTGCTCACTTGTCATTTTAATCCCTGCTCTATATACAGTCTGATCATTCCTCCCTGCCCAGATTCCCCTGCTTGGCATCTCTAAACACTCCGAATTTGACAAAGGATCATCAACCTGAAACAGATGCTGCCAGAACTGCTCAGTATTTTAAGTATAAGTATTCAGCTCAAATCACTGGATAGTTTGTTTTGCTGATATGTGAATGATGAACATTGCACAGGATACTCTAAGAATTTTGAGTTGTACTTTGATTTACTTCAGTTCACTCTCTTATTTGAAAGATGGACCTATGCAGACCATCAGGACTTCAGTGCTGAATTAAAATGTACGGTAGTGGTGAGAAATAGATTCTTAGGAAATATCATTCGAATGTCTTTGTTTAGGTGAAATTTTAACATGTCTAACTCGCTGAGAGATAATGTGCATCTATAGTTTACAGGGCTGCTACAAGTGGCAAATCAAAGATGTTACTCCAGTTGAAATTAGATAAACGGAGTTTGAAGTGAAAACAGTTGATAACCATAGTACTGGCATTTTGACTTCTCATCGAAGGATTACTGCTCCTATAAATAATAAAAATTGAGTGATGTATGCACACAAAACTGGAGAAGCATTGCACAGATTATGTAAGAGAATTTGTAGGTACAGAAAGTACCCACTTAATATTGTTTCACTTTAACATTGATAAAATATTGTCAATGCATCCATTTAATGTTGTAAAATTCACTTGAACGAAACTTGTCCATACTTCCTGTTCTATGGTCAGCATGACACATGATCTTTTCCTTAATGCTTCTACTCTTGCTCTCAGTCCTGAAGTTCCTCTTTCCTCCGGCTCCCATGTATTCTTAACTTTTAAATTCATTTGGTATCCATTACACCACTGAGGACTACAGCTGCTCTATTACTCCACTCTGGTTTCCTTCCTGCTCCCATCCTCATCCCTCTTCTCCATTGCTGTCCTTCTCATCCTTTGTACTTCCCTTTAAGGTCCCAGTTTTAGGTGCCAGCACCACTAGCTGTTGCCACTCTTGTGGCTGCTAGCTCCCATTCCAAATTTGCACTCAGGTCCCGGGCTCCATCAAGTGGCAAAAGTTGTTTAGTGCCACCAGTCCTGGGACTTCAGTTGCTCTCCACAATAACAACCAATATTAGTTGAAGCCCTGTCAATGTAACTACACTGATGAATGTATTTTTTAATCATTTACAATACTTAAATTTTTAAATTTATTATTTTAAACTTTATTTTGTTAATGAATGTCACCACTTCAACTTATGTTTATATATGTTTTCTGCTGAGAAGGACACTGATGTTGGTGTATTGATAGTATCTCTGGACGAATATTCCAGAGGATCAGACCAGTGCTCTGGAATCATGGCTTCAAATGTCATGGCTGAAGGAATCTAAATTTAATAAATAGAACCTGGAATTGAAAGCTAATTTCAATAATGGTGATCGTGAAATCATCATTGATTGTTAGTAAAATACAATTTTGTTCACTAATGACCTTAGAATCATGGAATCACACAGTATAAAAGAGGTCCTTTGGCCCATTGAGTCTGCACTGACAAAAACTAAATCTACAATAGTTCCTCTTTCCAGCACTTGAAATTTAACCTTCAATGTTATATAATATCCAAGTACTTTTTAAAGGTTGTGAGGTTTCCTGCCTCAACTTCCCCCAAGATAGTGCATTCCAGATTCCCATCACTCTCTGGGTGAATAAAATTCCTCAAATCCTCTTTAAACTTTCTGCCTTTCACCTTAAAATTATGGATATTGACCCTTTAATTAAGGAACCAGCTGCTTCCTATCTACCCTGTCCATGCCCCTCAACATCTTATACACCTCAATCAGGTCCCCTCTCAGCTTTCTGTATTCTGAAGAACCCAAGTTTATTCAGCCTCACTTCAGCTCTAAACTGCCCCATCCCAGGCAACATCCTGGTAAATCTCCTCTGCACCACCTCCAGTGCAATTACATTCTTCCTGTGGTGGGTGACCAGAACTGCACACAGTACAGCTGTGGCCTAACCAAAGGTTTGTACAGCTCCAACACAACTTCCGTGTTATTGTAATCCACACCATGACTGATTGAGGCATGTGTCCCATATGTCGTCTTAACTACCCTATTCACCTGTCCACCTACCCTGTTGACCTGTCCTGCTATCTTCAGGGATCTGTGATCAATCTTAAGATCCTCTGTTGCCTGACCTTCCTCGTGCCCTTCCATTCATTGAGTGTTCCTTGTCATGTTACTTCTTCTAAAGAGCATCACCTGACACTAAGCAGGGTCAAATTCCATCTACTACTAATCTGCCCATCTGACCAATCTGTCTACGTGCTTCGTAACCTAAGATCTTCTTCCTCACCCAGCCAATCTTTGCGTCATTTGTAAACTTAGCTATCATCTCCCCCCCATATTTTCTTCTATATCAGTTATCATTCAGGGAAGGAAATCTGTCGTCCTTTCTTGGTTTGGCGTACATGTGACTGCAGATCTATTGCAATGTGGATGATTCTTAACTGGCCTCAAAAATGGCTTAGCAAGCCACTAAGTTGAGGCAGTGAGGGGTTGGCAACAAATTTTGACTTTGCCTGTGATATTCGTATCCCATTCTGGAATAAAAACATTTTAGTTAGTTATAAATTGGAAGATGCTAGTTATTTTGGCATTGAGGGTACATGTATGTTACAGTATTTCAAATTGTATATTTTATGGGCAAGAGATGTTTGAATGAACCTGAATCAAGTTTTTTTAACATCGATTCTTTCAGGCACCAGTGTAACACTTCAAGTTCAAATTTTCAGGAATGCTACAACAACAAGTATGATGATGGTTGGAACTATTTTTATACATTGTTTTTCTTTCTTTAGGCAGCTCAAGCCGTTTTAATATGCCTGTTCCAACTCAACACTCCAGAGTTCAGCATGCTGCTTGGAGCTCTACCAAAAACATTCCAGGATGGAGCCACCAAACTTCTTCAAACACATCTTCGTAGTTTAGCCAGCAGTACCCAGGTATTTTATGCGATAATAATTACAATAATTGTTACGATATTTGTGAGTTACCAAGCAATGAACACAAAAGCATCTGGTGGACAGCTATCAACTGCAAGAACAAAACTTGAATAAGCTAGCTTGGGTTATTATTGTTCCTGGCAATTTAGCACACTTCTTTCCAACGTAGCAGGTGATTTGTTAAACATTGTTTTAATTAAAACAGGCCATATTTGTCATTCACCAGTCTCATTTGAGATGGTTAATTTGACACAAACCGATTAAAATTACTATGTAAAAGCAAAGTACCGCTGATGCTGGAGATCTGAAATCAAAACAGAAAGTGCTGGAGAAATTCAGCAGGTCTTCAGCATCTGTGGAGAGAGAAATAGAGTTGTTCAAGTCCAATATGACATTTCTTCAGGAAGTTACAGGAAATATTTTTACTCCGTAGTATTTTGTAACAAAAGCTGACTGTGTGCTTCAGTTATATCTTGAATTATTCCAGTAGCCAGTCAAACATTTTTCCTTGAACAACTTTATTTTATTGAATTGATTTTCATTTTCTTCCTGCAAATTACTGAGATCAAAAGAACAATCTGACAAAATTCTTGCTTGACTGGATTTGAGCATCTCCTCACTTCTACTTTGGAGGGAAGACGAGAGGGAAGACAAGTATAATAACTTTACTTCTGTTACATAATGCATTTCTTTCTGTTGGAAGTAAACCTTAGAAGAGCTTCAGCCTTGGTTATTCATTATATTATATGGGCATTGTTACATATTTTGAATATTACAAAACTTTAATCAATCTCTGATGGAAACCCATCTTGTTGTTTCAAAACTCAGAAATATAGTAAACAGTGAGGACAATAGTAACAGACTTCAGGAGAACGTGGACATAGACTGGTGAGTTGGGTAGATACATGGCAGATGAAATTTAATATAAAATTGTGAAGTGATTGATTTTATAAAAAGGAATGAAGAAAGATGATAAAAGCTAAAATGGTACAATTTTAATGGGAATGTGGGAACTAAGTGTTCTTGAAAGTGGGCATGAATTATTTTTTGAAGGTGTCAAGACAAGATGAAAGGGATTTCGAAACAAACGAAATCTTGCGTTTATATTTAATTCTTCAGTTCATAAAGTTAAAGAAATGATGTTGAATCTTGATAAAATAATGCTAGGTCCCGGCATGGAATATTGTGACCAGTCTGGACACTACAGTTTAGGAAGGATATCAAGGCTTTTCTTTTGGGTGGGGGCATTGTCTGACAGAAGTGTTCAAAATTGTGAAGGGCTTTAAGAGAGTAAATAAGGAGAACTTATTCCAGTGAAATGCGGTTGGCTGCCAGAAGACAGGAGGTTAAGTTAGTGGTGAAAGGACCAGAGGATTTATGAGGGCTGGGATATCCATGGCAGGTTGCATGGCATCTCATGACCTTCCAAAGCCTGTCCACCATCTACAAGATATCAGTCAGGGGTGTGATAGATTACTCTCCACTTCCCTAAATAATTACAACTCCATAAACTTTCAAGAAGCTCACCCCTATCAAATGCACAGCAGCCTGCATGATTGACACCCTGTAGAGTTCCTTAAACATTAATTTTTCCACCTCAGGTACATAGTGGTGGCAGTGTGTACCATATGCACTGCAGCAATGTGTCAAGCTTCCTTTCACCAGCACCTGCCAAGCCCACAATCTATACCATTTAGAAGAACAGGTTGGCATGCACTTGGGAAGACCGCCACCTGCAAGTACTCCTCAGACAGTGTATTGTCTTGACTTGGAACTATATTGCCATTCTGTTATTGGATTCAAATTTTATAATTCCCTTCTTTCAATCACTTTCTTTGTACGCATACTGCATAAGCTGCAGCAGTTCAAGAAGGCAGGTTACCATGTCTTCCTAAAGGCACTTTGGCATGAGCAGCAAATGTTTGCCTTGGCAATGATGCACACTCACATGAACTGAAAAGAGGTTATTGGCAGCAAAGTTTCAGGTTTACCCCTCCCTTTTTTGAACAAAGACGTGATAAATGGGAACAATTTGAACCTTAAGATGTATCCCATCCTTGACTTAATGGTAGCTCCTCTTCATCTGTTTTTACTGTATTCAGTTTCTCCATTCTTCATAGTGAAGTTGACAGTATCCTTTTCGTGATAATATATGCAAAGTGGTTCTTTAGCACTTCAGCTACGCCGTCCGTCTCCACAAGAAGAGTTTTTTCCTTTGGTCCTAAATTGGCCACGCCCTTTCTTTAACATCCCTTTTGTTGTTATAGATTTATAGTGTGTCTGTACTAGCCCTCTCCTAGTCCAACTCCTGCCTTTTCAAGTGAGAAAGTGTAGGTGAAGCCTGTAGTGTCAGCTTACTGAATAGTAATGCAGGCTCTTGTGGACTCTGGATAACTTTTGCTCATTTTTCATATGTTCTGCATAGCTCTGGAACCTTCTGTCTATTCAGATAATTTTCTAAACATTTTTTAAAAGCCATGATTGAATCAGGCTCCACCACACTCTCAGGCACTGCAATTTAGATTGTGATTACTTGCTGCCTAAAAAGGGTTTTTCCTCATTACCTTTGCTTCTTTAGCCATCATCTTAAATCTGTCCCTATCGTTTTCAATCCTTCTACAATCACTTGGGTCCCAGTAATCCTAGACTATATTTAGGCTTGGGCTAATAAGAGGCAAGTGACATTCATGCGATGCAAATGCCGGGCAAAGACCATCTCCAATATGACAGAATCTTACCAATACCTGTTCATCATTGAATCCCCTATAAGCTGAATCCTGAGGTAATCTTTGACCGAAAATCTAATTGGATTTGTGACATATGCTATGCCAACAAAAGCAAATCAGGTACTCTGCAACAATGGGCTCACCTCCTAACACTCCAAAATCCTCCAAAGAGTGTGATCGAATACGGTCAGTTTGTCTGAATGAGTACACTGCAAACATGCTTGAAGTTTAACACAATGCAGTACAACACAGCCTGATGGATCATCACTCCATTCAAAAACTTAAGCAGTTAATTGTTTATCTAACAATGCATCATAACTGCAGTGTGTTCTATCTACAAGATCTACCACGTCAACTTACCAAAGCTTTTTCAGCAGTACCTTCAAGTTTCCATTCAGGTTACATTCCATGCTAACTGTGTCACTAGCAACTCTGTCACTAAGAATTCCTTCACTAACAGTAAAGTTTTCTTTTCAGCATACAGTTTGCAGTGGTTTGAAAAGCAGCTGTCTACCTCTTCCTCAAATGCAGCTAGGACTTGACAGTAAAATTTGATCTCATTAATGATGCCCATATCCTGTAAATAAATAATGTGACAACCAAGAATATTATATGCGTATTTTGTTTGAACCTTTGTCACTGACTACTGTCATCCCATGTGGCTACTTGTACCTGCAGCTCAGTTCCTTCATCACCATGCTCCATGCATTTACGCATATGCACTCCAAACCTATCTTAATGTACCTTATGTTTACCTTTTTTAATCCCACCTATTTGTGAACTGCTCCATGTTCTAATACTGTGTCATAGCCTTTTTGTGCACCTTCTTTGTTGTGCTTCATCCTGATACTTCTCCCCTTGCCAATTTAGTTTGAACTCTTTCCAATACTGTTTTAAGTCCCCACGAAAAAATTGCTCCCAGCCCTCTTGATCTGCAACCTATCCAACTTTTCAGGTTGCTCCTTTCCCCCAAACTGAAACTCTCCTGCTGCATCATGTCTTACTGAAATGTTACTCGTTGTATGGTTAGAGTTATGGAGGAAAGACTTGAAGATTTCACTGAAACTGAGTTGGTTGAAGGGTAGCCTGAAAGATATCTTTATTATTAGTAAGGCTTGGGTAGTTACACTGGTTGGTGAGACAATAACAAGTGGACAGCACCTAAGATAAATTACAAAAAAATATCTTTGTGCAGAATGAGTTGATGAAGCCCTAAGTATTTTTGAATGGAAATTGGAAAGATTCATGAAGAAGAGGAATATTGGAAAGAAACATGAGTTTTATCAGATGACGTTATCCATAAAACAGAAGGGCTGAAAGCCCTCTTTCTGTGCTGCAAGGTTTGACAGGATGAATCTCACATCCTCATTCTATACTTATGAGCTATTGTCAGTTAATTTTAGTTCTAACCTAGAAGAAACTGTTTTCTTGCCAAATCATCATCTTGTTATATGGGAAAGCAGGATAGTTGCATTGTATTATTTGATGTAACACTGTCAATTAATAATACTGAAACAGGATAAGCTATCACTTAGACAAGGATTAATCAAGAATGGTCAACGTGGATTTGGATTTCTTAAAGGACGACAGTGTTTGACCAACTTGATCAAACCTTTTGAGGAAGTAACAATGAGTTTTGATGAGGGCACTGCAGTTGATGTGGTCCACATGAACTTTGCAGTGCTTTGAACAAGGTCCCACATGACAGACTGTTTTTTCAAAAAAAAATCACATGAGATCCAGGGGAATGTAGCAAGCTGAATACAAAATTGGCTCAGTGGTATCATAGATTTCCTACAGGGTGGGAGCAAGTCATTCAGCCCATTGAGTCTGTGCTGACTCTCCGAGGACCATACCACCCAGACCTAGTCCCCAGTAGCCTTATTATCTGTAATCCTGTATTTTCCATGACTCATCCACCTAACTTACATATCTTTGGACTGAGAAAAGAAACTGGAGTACCTAGAGAAAATCCACACAGTCACGGGAAGAATGTGCAAACTTCACATAAACAGTCGCCTGAGGGTGGAATTGAACCCAGATCCCTAACCACTGAGCCACCATGTTGCCCTTTACTAGGAAACTAAGGGTAATTTTTAATACATAAATGTGTGGAGTATGGTAATGAAGGATGCCCAGCTGCAGGCACAAGTAGCCACATGTTTTTGCATCGAGAAGACTTTTCCTTAGATCCCTTGCTTTTGTGATGTATATAAATGATTTGGACATATGTGTAGGGAGACATGATCAAGAAACTTGCAGATGACACATTAATTGGAAACATGCTTGATAATGAGGAGGATAGGTGTGGATTGCAAGACAATATACATGGATGGTGAGGTGGGCTGAAAACGTCAAATGGAATTCAACCTGGAGAAGTATTAGTTGATGCATATGGGAGATGTCTGGATCTGCATCTCAAATCCATAACCTACAGGCCCACAAACCACATGCTAAAATGTTGAATTAGACTGGATGGTTTCTTATTTCAGCCAGCTCAGACCCCCACAATGGGCCAAGTAGCCTCTTTCTGTGCTGTAAAATTCCTGTGGCCTATACAGGCAATTAAATTGAATCCAATTGTAACCCAATGAGCTATAATAAAAATAATTTTTCAAGATGTATAGCTTTTATATGAAATAACATCATTTTTATTGGTAATGTTGCTTTAGATAAAAATGTTGGGAAATTGCTTTACTAAATTTTAATGGCATTTAACTTTTCTTTTAACTAAGCAGGGGTCTGGAAACAGTTCTATAACACGAAGCACACCACGTTCACCTGCAGGTTGGACCAGTCCCCTCACTTCACCAACAAACACAACTCAGAATACTGTACCACCAAGGTAATGTAAATTTAAGAGTAGATACCATTAACTTTTGATGAAGAAACTAGTATACTGCACTCAGATATCACTGAAGTGTGTTTGCTGCTCCAGAAATAAATTCTCACTAAATATTCATGTTGGTAGACAAACAGGAGGCTGGAAGAACACAGCAGGCCAGGCAGCATCTGGAGGAAAGGAGTAGTCAACATCTCGGAATACCCGAAACGTTGACTGCTTCTTTCCTCCAGACGCTGCTTGCCCTGTTGTGTTCTTCCAGCCTCCTGTTTGTCTACCTTGGATTCCAGCATCTGCAGTTTTTTTTTCTCTATTCATGTTGGTAGATTGAATTAGATTTAGTTGATTGATTAATATATCAAATAACAAATTTTTGAAAATCAACATTCGTGCTCCACAGAAATTATGCACTTCGGGAACTGCATAAATACATCAGAGTCAAATTTTGCTTTATAATATTTCTGTGAAATGATTTGGGACATTTTATTACACTTAAGGCATTGAATAGAGTGCAAGTTATTGCTCTTCAAGATCTTAATGGGGAGTTTAGAAGACATGAACCACTGTCATTAGAAGACTCAATGAACTGAGCTGAATTTAAATACTGGCAAAAATCCATAGTTCAACTGGGATGTTTCACATATTTGAAGCTTTCAAGTTAAGAATTTTGTCCTTCATACAATTGTGGCGCAGGCATGTGTGGAATTTCATATTTGACTACAATACAAAGGAGACATATAACAGCTTTTCATTTTATCTTTATCCTATTCTTTAAGACCTTTGACATCTGAGGGACGCAGGATTTGTTAGTTCCTTTTTCTTTAAGGGAACATATCTGTTTCAATCTCTCACCATCTCTTGCTTGAATGCCTGACAGAATGGCCTGGAATAGATGACTTTCAAGTAGCTGCTTCCAGCCCACTTTAACTAAATCATACCTCAAGTGAGTAAATTTAACTTTCCCCAATCAAGAGCCTTGATGTTGGCCTATCATTGCTCTTTTATATAGATCTAACGGAATTACGATCACATCCACCAAAATATTCCACAACAAATCCCTTCAAATGCCCAGCTTATTTCTTTAAACCTAAGTACAATACCGCTCCCTGTCTTAGTGGCTTCCTAAATACAGGTTATAGACATTTGTCTGAATGCATTTTGAGAATTTTGCTCCATTTGTGCCTTTCTCAGTTAATGTTAGGAGAGTTGAAATTCTCCATTCCTTAATGTACTGTTGAAGTGCCTCACTTACAGGGAAATGCTTCATACAAAATAGGAGACCTTTGGCATCTTGAGCCTGCTTCACCTTTTAATTAGATCACGGCTGATGTAGTTGTGTTACAAATTCTACATTCATATCTAACTGTGATAATTCAATACCCTTGCCAAATAAGAATCTATCCACATTTGTCTTCAAAATTGTTAATGACCCTGCTACACTGCCTTCTGAGGCAGAAAGTTCCAAGGTTGCAAAACCCTCAGAGAAAAACATTTTCCTTGATCATTTCTAACAACGGTCTGAAAGCTTATATTTTCATTTACTGATACAAGCTTTTGATTTCTGTATTTTCATTTGATTTCAAACTTCATAATGACTGCCATGAAGAAATTTGAACTCCTGCTCTGATTATTGGTCAAATAACATAACCACTATATTGCCATTGTCTTAAAAAAATGTCCAATCAGCAGCTTTCCTTGTTGAATAAAACTATGTTTCTGACAAGGTGGTAAGTGATTAATTTTTAAATTAGAAAAATAATGAGAAAGAACTTGAAATTATATAATGTCTTTCGTGGTCTCAGGAAGACCCATAAAGAATGGCTGGATGGTTGCAGCAGGTGTGGCGGGTATGAGAGTTATACTTTGAAATTATACTCTAGCCATGAACCAAATTTGCCATGAAAGCCATAAAGTTGGGAGCAGTGTATTAGCATGGATGGAGTTTTGGTTTATGGAGAGGAACCAAAGAGTTAGGAATAAATGGGTATATTTAAATTGGCAGGCTGCAATTCTGCAAAAATCAGTGCTGGGACCTCAACTGCTTACAATCTGCATAAATACATGGGATGAAGGAACAAAATATTTTGCAACTAACTTTGCTGATGATATAAACCTAGATGGGAAAAAAAGTTATTGGGAAGACAAAGACAGAAAAAGAATACTGGTAGAATGAGTGAGTGGCCAGTAAAGTGGAAGTTGAAGTATGGGAAAATGTGTTGTAAGAATAGAAAAGCAGAATTTTTTTAAGAAGTTGTGAGACTAGTAAATATTAATGTCTCGAACAATTGGGTATACTTATGCAACAAACACCAAATTGGCATACAGGTACAGCATGCAGTTATGAAGGTAAACTGCAAGTTGTTTTTAATTGCAAGTTTACAAAAATGAAGTCTCATTACAATTGTACAGGGCTTTTGTTAAAAACCGAAAGAACTGCAGATGCTATAAATCAGGAACAAAAACAGAAGTTGCTGGAAAAGGTCAGCAGGTCTGGCAGCATCTGTGAAGAAAAAAATCAGAGTTAATGTTTCGGGTCCAGTGACTGAAACGTGTTCTGAGAAGGGACACCAGACCCGAAACGTTAACTCTAACTTTTTCTTCACAGATGCTGCCAGACCTGCTGACCTTTTCAGCAACTTCTGTTTTTGTTCTTGGATTATTGTACATAGTTTAAATCTCCATATTTATGGAAGGATATGTTGCATTTGAGGCTGTTCAGTAAAGGTTCACAAGATTATCTCTTGAGGTGAGATACTGAAAAAATTCAGACTATACTCTTTGGTGTTTAGGAGAGAGACAAATAATCTTGTTGAAACACAAGATATTCTGAAGGGCTTGACAAGATAGGTATACATCATGAGGTTGCTTACATAACTGGGATATCTTGAACACCACACACACCAACAACAACAATAACAAAGTTGCTGGAAAAGCTCAGCAGGTCTGGCAGCATCTGTGAAGGGAAAAACAAAGTTAACATTTCAAGTCCAGTGACCCTTCCTCAGAACTGATGGTGGCTGGGAAAACATCAGTTTATATGCAGAAAAAAGGGGACAGGGATGGGCTGGAGAGTAAACGAAAGGATAGAACCTAAAGAGAGAGAGGAGCAGGTGGACAGAGAGTTGATAACGATCAGGCTGGGAGGGTGATTAGTTGTTAATGGGGACTATTAGTGACTAATAACAGGTAGTGTATAATGGCAGGCTATGTGGTAATAAGGCCTGGTGTGTGGGGTAGGGGGCTGGGACATGGGAGAGTTTAGGCCCTGAAATTATTGAACTCGATGTTGACTCCAGAGGGCTGTAGGGTCCCCAAATGGAAATGAGGTTTGTTCTTCTAGCTTGCGTTGAGTTTCGCTTGAACACTTGAACACCACCTCAGGAGAAGAGGCTGATAATTTAGTAATGAGATAAAAAGAAATTTCTTCGTAGTATGGTAGAATACTTGTGTCTTCCCTGGTTCTGTATAGGATCAATTATCAGGCTGACTACTTTTTAGTCAACTCTTTAATCTTATACAATCTTTTCTTGTTAGCTGTGATTGGATCACTTTCCTACTGTGCCCTTGTGCCTAACAGAATATAAAAACTTGCCATAAACTATGTATGTACAACCAAAAGATGACAAAAAATGTAGAGTCAAGGGAGTCATGGAGAGAGTGGTCCCTCCGGAAGGCAGATAAGGGTGGGGAGGGAAAAATGCCTTTGGTAGTGGGGTCACATAAGAGTGGGGAGTGTGTCCGCTCCACAGCCCCCACTAGCCCCATCACACCCAGCACTTTTCCCTGCAACCGCAGGAAATGCTACACCTGCCCCTACACCTCCCCCCTCACCTACATCCCAGGCCCCAAGAAAACCTTCCACATCAAACAGATGTTCACCTGCACATCTGCTAATGTGGTATACTGTATCCGCTGTTCCCGATGTGGCCTCCTCTGCATCGGGGAAACCAAGCGGAGGCTTGGAGACCGCTTTGTGGAACACCTATGCTCGGTTTGCGACAAATGACTGCACCTCCCAGTCGCGAACCACTTCAACTCTCTCTCCCACTCCTTGGACAACATGTCCATCCTGGGCCTCCTGCAGTGCCACAACGATGCCACCCGAAGGTTGCAGGAAAAGCACCTCATATTTCGCTTGGGAACCCTGCAGCCCAACGGTTTCAATGTGGACTTCACAAGCTTCAAAATCTCCCCAACCCCGACCGTGTCCTAAAACCAGCCCAACTTGTCCCCGCCTCCCTAACCTGTCCGTCTTTTCTCCCACGTATCTGCTCCTCCCACCTCAACCCCCACCCCCACCTCCTACCTACCAGCCTCATCCCCACCTCCTTGACCTGTTCATCTTCCCTGGACTGACCAACCCCCACCCTAACTCCCCACCTACACTCACCTTTACTGGCTCCATCCCCGCTTCCTTGACCTGTCTGTCTCCTCTCCACCTATCTGCTCCTTTATCCGTCTTCTGTCTGCCTCCCCCTCCCTCCCTATTTATTTCAGAATCCCCTTTCCCTCCCCCATTTCTGAAGAAGGGTCCAGACCCAAAACGTCAGCTTTCCTGCTCCTCTGATGCTGCTTGGCCTGCTGTTTTCATCCAGCTCTACGCCTTGTTATCTCAGATTCTCCAGCATCGGCAGTTTCTACTATCTCTTAACCCTTATTGAAAGAGCATTTGAATACAGGAGTAAAGAGATCTTCCTGCACTTGTGACGAAGCTTGATGAGATACCACCTGGAGTACTGTATACTTTGTCTCTCCTATGGAGGCTCGCTCTTTGAGTGAATTCAAAATAGAGATCAAGAGATTTCTAGGCATAAAAATATCAAAGAATATGGGGATAGGAAGGAATATGGCATTGAAATCGAAGATAAACCACAATCTAGTTGAATGGCAGCCTGGCTCAAAGGATCACATGGTCTACCCTTGCTCCTATTTCCCTGTGTTTCTAACCATTGATTCTTCTATTTAACCATGCAACTAAAGAACCTCATTCCTTCAACTGTTTGAATAAATATCTTCAGTATTCTCTCCAAGACCTTCAGATCCTTCCTAAAGCACAATGTTCATATTTAGATACAATGTTCTTTGTGGCCAAGCAAACATGTTTAATCAACAGAAAACTCCACAATAAAATTTTGACACTTCATACTTTTTGTTCTGTGAACAGTGCTTTTACCTATGACGCAGAGAACATGAATTCAGAAGAAATATACTGCTCTCTTCGAGGAATGACTGAAGCAATCCAGAACTTCAGTCTCCTTAGTCAAGAAGAAATGAATGAACCTTTGCGACGAGATTCTAAAAAAGATGATGATGGAGAACTGGTGAGTATTTTAACTTTTTCCCTTTAAAGGTATTTCATCTTACCTAATGTCAGCTTGGGAGCATATTTCTTAGACCAGTCAAAAATATGTAGTACTCTCACTTTTGTTTCTCTTGCACGCTGTCCCCCTTAAAATGGCTGGAAGTTGTAATGAATAATTGAAGTATAAGGTCAATTCCCAGCTCTTGTATCAAGTTAGTTGAGCTGAACCTGTATCTGAGGTGCTACCGATAGTATCAGTACTCCTGATAAAGAGTGGGAAAATCATCTAGGATTCTCCTGCAAACTAACTTGTATCAAATGTCACAATATATGGACTTCAGGTGAAGCTAGCATAATGCTTCACTATAATGCTTTCCACAAAGAAATAGCCTCACTTGAATTTTCAGTGCATTAGTATCCTTTTTAACCACAGGAGTTCCAAATATTTACATGATGCAAATGTTTTGGAAATGCTTTCCAGTACTTGTATGGTTCTGATGTAAATACCATTTACGGAATAATAGTGATAAATATTCCTTGTGAAATTAATTTGTCTTCTGTACAGGTGGAGTTTAAATTGTTTTGCAGTTTATCAAGATTAAAGTGCATTTCATATACTGAAGCCCTAATTAGTCTCTTTGAATAAAATTAATCTTCCATTACAATATTTACAAGGGCAATGTCACAACCATTAGCAAATTGAACAACGACTACATTTCACAGTATGTTTCAAAGCTATTTAAACTGCAGTATGAGAATTAAACAAGACATACATCATGTATCTGGGAAAGCCAGATAACTTGTTATCTTGCGGTGCTTTCCTGAAATAGAGCAGCAAATTCAAAAAGTTAATTTGTAAATAGTTTGAGCTTGAGAGACTATTTTTGACCACATAGATATCATTTTTAAACATAAGTCTATAATTTGGCTTATACAAGAATTATTTTACATGTACCTTGAATTTGGTAGTTGTAATGTGAGAGTACATAGCATGATGTGAAGATAAGTGGTCTTAATAAGACAGTGGTTGGCTACCCTTGGTAACTCATGGCAAGGTCTTCAAAACAAATTTTCTTCAAATCAACCAGCTCATGTACAACTGCACAGCAAGTTAGATTTAGCCCACGGGCTTGGGAAATTTGACAGTGATCAAAATAGTTCATAAATATCTAGATGACCCTGAGCATCATCTGAATGGAGACAATATAATGCCAACATATTTAAATGTGCGTAGTGTTGAGCATTTTGAAAGGCTTTCATGTATTCCAGCAATGCAATCATAAATCAAGTAAATTGATGTCAGTATTGTGGATATCTTGTTTTTCTTAATTTAATAAGGAATTATAATCTGTGTGTGCTTCTCTCCTGCCAGTTATTTTATGTATACTGTTTCAAATAGCTTCCTTGTGGCTGTCAAACAATTACATTTTGACAGAGCAGTTCTCCAATTTAAATACTAAGAACAGGTATCAGTGGAGTAGAAAGAAGGAAGTTATTTCCTCTAATGGAGAATCCAACACAAGGGAGCATAAGTGTTTAAATTTGAGCTAGACTATTCAAGAGTGAAATCTGATAACACCTTTTCACATAAACAATGATGAATATCCAACAACTAAAGGATTTTGAGCTACTTAAAATTTTATAGACTGAGATCAACAGATTATTTTATTATTTTAGGGTAATAAGATCTGCAGCACAATCGAGTTAATGAAAGCTGAAGTACAAATCAGCCATAATTTAATTGCACGGATTTGAAGAGCTGAATGACCTGTTCCTGTCCCTATGATTTATTGATGGAGAACCTGCATGGTTTGCAGTCTCAGTTCTAGAGACTTAATGCATGGTTCAAGAACATGACTCTCATTCCTTTGTAATTTGCACAGGTGTCAAATTGCTATCTTGTCGTAGAGTTTCACAACACAGAAAGAAGCCCTTCAGTCAATTGTGTCTGCATCAATCACCAAGTATCTATTTATTTTAGTCCCACTTTCCAGCATTTTGCTGGTTCCTTGTAAATACTTTCTAATCAGCCTGTTCAGAGATATTATGCAACTCTTGATCAGGTGGGACTTGAACCTGGTTCTCCTGGTCCAGAGGCAGGGATGTGGCCAATGCACCACAAGAGCTGTCAGGCCAGTACCTTGTATGTTGTGGCACTTCAAGTGATCACTAAATGTTATTTAATGTTGTGATGATTCTCACTACTATCATTCTTTCAGGCATTGAGTTTCAGATACCCAGCAACCTCTGAATGAAAATTTTTCCTCAAATCCCCTCTGAACCACCTGCCCTTCACCTTAAATTGATGTCTGCTGGTTACTGATCCTTCTGCTGAGGGGAAATGATTCTTCCAATCCACCCTACCTATGCCCGTCATCATTTTGTACACAACTTTGTTCAATTATACAAGTGCATAAATAAGCTAAACCCAGAAAATTAAGTTATTTACTTCTCATAATATGCAACAGATTCTGTTCCCAACACTGAATGTTGACTACATTTATAAATTTATATTCCAAGCTATATATTCTCCCCTCAGAAGATGCATGCATATTTAGAAATAAATTGCTATATCCCAATAACATTGAAAATTACCAAAATACAGGTGCTTTCTACTATATCTCTGAACATGTCAAATTAACTATAACAACACTGTGTTCTAAGAAGAACTAGGAATGTCTAGAACAATATGTTGTGGAACCAACTTGGGAAAGAAGAAGGAGGCATTTGTCAGATGTAGACAACTGGGATCAAGTAAGTCTCTTGAAGAGTACGGGGGAGTGGGGGCATTCTTACGAGGGAAATGAGAAGGGCAAAAAAGGGATATGAGATAGTCTTAGCTTATAAGGTTAAGGAGGATCCAACGAGATTCTACGTGTACATTAAGGGCAAAAGAGCAACTAGGGACAGAATAGGGCCCTTTGAAGATCAACGAGGTTGTCTATGTGTGGAATCACAGGAGATGAGAGAGATACTAAACATATTTCTCTTCACTATTTACTGTGGAGAAAGACATGGAAGCTAGGGAACTTGGGGAATAAGTATTGGTGTCTTGAAAACAGTCCATGTTACAGAAGAGGAGATGCTGGAGATCTTACAATAGCATGAAGGTAGATAAATCTCTGGGACCCAATCAACTGTATCCTAGGACATTTGTCGACCCCTTAGCAGAGAGACTTGTATCATCTACAGCCACGGGTGAGGTGCTAGAAGGGTGGCTAATGTGCCTGGGAACTATTGACTGGTGAGTCTGACATCACTGGTAGATAGTAGGAACTGCAGATGCTGGAGAATCTGAGATAACAAGGTGTAGAG